TGGAACTGTTCCCACCCCCCCTAAAAACAGCTGCCATCACCCCCATCCTCAAAAAACCTTACCTGGACCCACCCCTACTCGCCAACTATCGCCCCATCTCCGACTTCCTATTCCTCTCCAAGGCCCTGGAACGAGTTGTCTCATCCCAGCTTCACTCTTTACTCTCCCGCCATCCTCTCTCTGAACTCCTCCAATCGGTTTTCCGTGCCGCTCACAGCCCTGGTCAAAGTCACTAACGACATTCTGAGCATCTGCGACCAGGGCCCTCTCTGCCTCCTTGTCCTCCTCGACCTCTCTGATGCCTTCAACTCCTTCGACCACTCCATCCTCCTACACTGCCTCTCCTCTCAGCTCAATCTTCGTGGACCTGCCCTTGCCTGGTTCAAAACCTACCTCTCCCACCGTCTCCACTTTGTCGCCACTAAAGGCTTCTCCTCCAGCACCATCACGTATGGTGTTCCTCAGGACTCTGTCCTTGGCCCTCTCCTTTTCAATATCTATATGCTCCCTCTTGGTGACATCATCCACAGACATGGGGTCAACTTCCACATGTATGTGGATAACACCTAACTGTACCTCTCTGCCTCCACCCTTAATTCCAGGACCACTGCTGTCCTCACAGACTGCCTGTCAGACACCAAGTCCTGGATGAGAGCTAACTTTCTGCAGTTGAATGACCACAAAACTGAGGCTCTCCTGCTTGGCTCCTATCAGCACCTCCATATCTTGGGCGCTGATAGCATCTCCCTCTATGGATGCACTCTACATCTCACGGAGCCAATACGGAACCTCAGCTTCCTGTTCCAACTCTTAACTGTGATTCATACCCCACATTCGTGCCATGACCCGCTCCGCCTTTCCCCACCTCCGCCCGCAACATTTAAAGCAAATGTTGACCATTTATCATTGGAATTAAATAATACTATAGACAAGTGCACATGAATTAGAATGAAAATTAATTTATTTAATAAGTTCTTTAATTTCAAGAGAAAAAAATATTAATGCATAATGTTTTGGAGTATTTAACAAATTCAGTTATGAATGTGTTCCTTTTATTTTACCGTTATGGTCTCTGGTCAAGAGACGCAGGGGATTTCCCCCAAATCAAACTCATTTAGCTGTCTTCACTGTGGATCAAGATGAATAATATTAATATTTTTGGATAAACCCATTCAGAGCTGGATTAATAAGTTGAAATAGTTGAAGTAGAAATGAATTGAAATTTGAAGTACTTAACCCTAACTTGGAAATGTCAGTTTTCTACTTTGAGATTTGGGGTTGTGTTGTTTGTGTTGTGGAGTCCTGTGGCTCAGTGGTTAGAGCACTCGCTTTGCAAGCGAGAGACCTGAGTTCAATTCCAAGCAGGGCGAAACCTTGGGCAAGTTTCCTTACTCCACACTCCTAATAATAATCCCTCCAAAAACCAAAAACAATAATAAATTGGTCATTTTCAATCTACGACTGTTTGTGGGACATTGCTGTGCGCAATTGGCTGCCGCGTTTGCCCACAAATATACAGTCAATTCACTTTACAGTGTGTTCTGTGAAGCGCTTTGGGACGTCCTCCTGACGTGAAAAGCGCTATATCAAATGCAAGGATTATTATTATTATTATTATTATTGCTAGGCTCCGCCACTGTCTCACACTGCAGGCCGTCAAGACCTTCACAACGTCCAGGTTCGACCACGCAAACTTCCGTCACCTGTTCCCATTTTACACTGGAGTTTTGTTTTTGACAATTCCTGGTATCTCAGCAGCTTTCATTTTGTAAATGAAATATAAATTTTCCAGCAAAGATTAAGTGATAGACTGTTTTTCTGGAAGACTACAATAGCTGATGCACTGACACCGATGAGGGGACGTTCATTGCTCCAGTGGGACTCTTGTAATGTGTCTGCTTCACCCTTTGGCTGTTGGAACGTACATGAGTCTGCAGAGGAGTCTTGAGAAGATCAGATATTGGTTGCGTTTGGAGAGAAGCACTTACCCAAGATTTAATGTTAAATAAAATCTAGGCTATATTCCCTACTGTCATTTTAAAAGAAACTTTCACAAGTAGTAGTTTAGTGTGGGAGGGGTGAGAGAGTGAGTGAGAGAGAGAGAGCGCGAGGAAGGGTGTTTACTACTCCCGTGTATGGAATGGAATAAATCCTTAGTTTTAGTTCCAGAGGCTGGAGGCATAATAAATGTGCACTAACACATTATGGTATTAAAATAAATGGCCACTATTATTGGCTTTGTGTAACCATGTGCACAGAGAGAATTACAGGCTTTGTTAATTATGTAAGTAACTAATAAAAATAGTTTATTAATGATGTGATCAACAGCCAATGTGTTTAATATCTTAACTGTAGAACTAAGGGCACTTGGAATTCCCACTGTACACATGGTTTACAGAATGTGCATGTTTTACTGGGCTGTAAATGACTAGGTTCAAAATGTAATTGTTCATCTGATTTACCATGTCGTAGTGATTGGAACTTAGTGCAATAAATCTGGACACATGCACTTTCTCTTAAATCACTTTTATTGAATAGCACATTTACACATTTCTGAGCCTTGCCATAGGGCAAAAGGGTTTATATCGCTGGCCTCCACTACAGTTGGGGAAGAAAAACATTGATCTTGAAATAAAACTAGTGCCACAGTGAAATTATCAATTGGTTTGCCTCAATTAATGCACTCTCGCCGTGAAGGTTTAAACCCCACATCAAGATTTGAGTTCTTAATTTAACTGACACTTCAGGCTGGTGTTGTGTGTACTTTTTTTGGAGGTGATGTCCTTCTGGTGAAACATGAACCAAGGTCTTACTTGTCTGTTCTCTGGGTTGCAGTTGATGTTAAAGATCTCACTATTTTCAAGAACATAGAGTTCTTCTGGTGTCCTGGCCAATATTCATCCATTATCTAAATTCACTAAAAACAGATTACATTTTCTCATTTATCACTCTGCCGGCACAGTGTAGCTGTCACATTTCCCACATGACAGAAGGTCCCTACACTTTAAAGTAACTCCTCTTGTAAAGTATATTATGACAAGGGAAGGTATTAAATGAAATGCTGTTCCATTATTCTGGTAATATGACAGTAAAAAAATCCTCATGTCACACAGGTACTAATAAGAATCCTTGCATTTAATATAGCGCCTTATCATATTGAAATGTCTCAAAGCGCTTTATAGGATACTGTGAAATGTACTGACAGTCTATTTTGTGGACGAAACACGGCAACCAGTTGTGCACATCAATGTTTCACAAACAGCTATAGAGTGAGTGCCCAATTTTATTTGGGGGATTGTTGGCTATAACACTGGGAGAAGCTCCGTTCTCTTTTCAAATAGTTCCATGGGATTTTTTAACATCCACCCGAACAGGTAGATGGGACCTCAGTTTAACATCTCATCTGAAGGACGGCACTACCGACAATGAAACACACCCTCAGCGCTGCACTGGACTGTCAGCTTAGAGTATGTGAGCTCAAGTCCCGCCATGGGACTTGAACCCAAAACCTTCTGATTCCGAGGCGAGCGGCTACCACAGTGCCAGACTGACACACATCAGTATTGTCTCGCTATCAAGCTTAACGTAAAATCACACTTTGAAAACTGTATGTAAATATATACCTGAAGGACTGGACCTGAAAAAGTACTGTCACCACCACAATACTCTTAATGGGTAAACACAGAGCCTGGTTTAGCGGTAAATAATAGACAAGGTCACCAATGGTGTTGAGCTCTGGCTGTGTTAAGTTCACCAATCTCAACCGAGTAGTTGAGGCTTCAATTGGCCTCACAGCCCATGGTCAGCAAGGGAAAAATTAGCCAAGTTCCCACTGTAACATGGCTTTCATGTTTGGTTACAAAAATGTGACTAAACTTAATGGTAATAGTCTGTACGGAAGGCCTCAACACATCAAGACTACAAAAATGAAAGTTCTTTCTTATTGTTCTGCAGACACCCCTGTCAGAAGCCTGAAACTCCACCTATTATTAACCTGGGAAACTACTGTGTCTCAAAGTTTAAGATTATGCAGAATTCTGAAAAACTCAGAAATTCGGTCTTAGGTTTGTGGGTACCTGTTTTCTGTAGTTCTTAAAAATGTCATATCTCAAATGAAGACTCGATGTAAGAATTTTCCACAATTGTAGTCCACTAATTTTAGACCTCAGGTAAGGGTAGGATTGGACTCTGCTGTAATGCTCCTATAGTTGTATAGTCTGCCAACACTTGCATGAATAATGGTGAGGTGGGGGGAGGGGGTTGGCCATGGATCTGTATTCCAGTATGAGTTAGTATAATCGAGGAAAGAAGGAAAAATTGGCACAAAAAAAGCAAACTTTTCCAAGGTTCCGCACCATAAATGTAAATTATGTCCAGATGTTAAAGCAGTATCTCCTCATGCAACATATGATGAATCCAGTGAATATTGATATTTAGTTTCCCAAAGAGCCCCATATGAACCAATCGATCTTTATTATCACAATGTTGTTTTGATGGGTGGTGCATTTCCCACATAATAAACTGAAGGCAGAAGAAATAAATGATATTCACATGAGGGTCACAAAGTAACAATAATAATCCTTGCAATATGAGATAGTGCCTTATCATGCCGTCAACGTCTCAAAGCGCTTCGCAGGATTTACTTTAAGGTATAGTGACTGTTTTTAGCAAACTCGGCAGCCAATTTTGGGGCTACGTCGGTAAATTATAGGAAGGTAGGTAACAACCGAGTAAAACAACCTTCAGCGTGAGCCTCCACACATTTCTCAACGAAGAAAATACTGTACAGTATTTGAACAAGACTGTTTGTAGGACACTGCTGTGCACAATTGGCTGTGGCGTTTCGCCCACAAAATACCCGTTCAATCCATTTTACAATATATTCTGTGAAGCGCTGTGAGACATCCCAATGCCGTGATAAGGCATTATATCAAATGCAAAGATTATTATTACGTATACATCATAGCTGGCATTTAGTGAAGCAGCACCAACATTCAAAATTTAGCAAAGAAAGGTTTATTTGTTTTTTTTTTAAATTTTAAAGTATGAAAGAATGGGTTGTATACAAAAGCATTATAGCATATATACAGCATTATTGCACAAGTATCAATTCCCCTTCAGTTATATAGACAGTGATCAGTGCAAAGAGGGAAACTTAAATTGTAAAAAAAAGGTAGGAACTGCTAAACGTTTGCTACAAATATACTGGGTCCTAGATACTACAAGAACAGTAATTAAATAACATTAAGCAGAAAATAAAGCCATGAAATAAACAATTGCACAGAGAGTTTTGGCTCAGTGGGGCTTCAGATGATGGAATGGAGGAAATTATATAAAAGAACACAAATGCAGAAAGAGATTCTCTATGTCTAATAAATATGACCAAAATAACTTACACATGTACGTTTCCTTTTGACTCCCCCCCACCCTCCCCCCACCAATTAATTTCAGTTGAATAAGGGTGTGTTAGGAAAACAACTTTGATTCTGTTTTGGGGAAATGGACACAGCCCTGGATACTTGCTGGCTCAGGTTCCAAAAAATTGCAGGAAACATTTGTGAAATACAATCCAAGGCTTGAAAGGGAAAAAGCGCTGATCCACTGCTAAACGGTTGTGACACATTACATAGTTTCACCTGCCAAAGGTCCGTGTAGATCACAAGCTTCGAGTCTCAACGAAATGATAGATTATCAGATGTTTGAATTATTGTTTCTTCCTTATGACAAATGCAGCTTAATGTCAAAGATGAGCGAGCAAACACGTTTTTTTTTAAAAAAAAGTCCAAGAAGGAAAGCGAGGATCGAAATAGCAGAATCTTTAGCCAGCCAATGTCATTTAATTCAGTAATGCTGGAAATGCTACACATCTGCTGGGTCGAGAGATCCGAATCCTGCTGCTGGCTTCTCTTGCAGAATTAAAACTGAAGACAGGTTCAGATGCCGATCCTGAGTCTGTAGAGGTAGAGCCAGATACCCCAGTGCCAGAAATGTCCTTGTTCATTCTCATTGTTGGGGACTCTGTGGTTCCTGGCCTGGAATTGGAAGGAAGTTAGATGTTTTTATTAGTTTTTGTAAACTTAAAAATCTCTTCTTCCCCTTCCTCTCCTGTCCCCTCAAAACATTAAAATTAAAATCTATTATACTGAACAGATGCTTTGAATGTTATTTTCTTTCTTTATTTTATGGTCAAATAGCTTGCCAACATTTCTTGTCAAGGTTGGTATATAAATAATGGCCACTCGGGCAAGGTACCAAAGAATGACTGACTACTATGGAACTGTACCTCAGCAGAAAGAAAAAGTCAGAGACTCTCTCCAGAGAAGGCAGGGGTGGGGTGGGGGGAGAAACTTGGGAGAACAAAATGAAATGTTTTCTAAATCAAGCTTGGCTATCAAATATAACCACCACTCTAATTAGTACTATTAGTACCATCTTCTGGAACGAATACACGTAAATTTGCTGGATTAATTTTATAGCTACAATGTGCTGGGGTTAGCAGACAAGGCAGACTGAGCAAGACAAAGTCACTGTAGTAATAATTGTTAAGGTCTTGTCAAGTGAATAATAGATTGAGCCACTGCTAAGCGTATGGAACATGTTGCTCTTGGATGTATTTCAGTGAGTCTGAAAAGTAAAAATGTGCACGTACTATCAGAATCCTTTTCTTACACTATATTTTGATTTGGAAATATAAATATAAAATTACCAGCGTGAAAGATTAAAGCAGTTTATAAGTAGAGAATTTTGTAAATTGTTGTGTTTTTTCAGCGGGAACAGTGATGAATCAATATGTATACAGACTGCAGGTTGCTAATCAGGAGTTCACTGTCAAGATTGCAATACTTTGAAGAGTTGAGCCTCCAGGCGGTTGATGATATCTGTGGCAGACTCAGACATGTTCTAAACACTTCGCTACACCATCTCTGTGAGGTTACAATCTGCACTCAAGACTCCTTTACATATGGCATCACAAACTAGGCTGAGAATTTGTTTAAAAGTCCAGAAAAAATCCTAGGAGATTAGGGGAGGGGAAAAATATTAAAAGCTTAAGTGATAACTTTACACAAAAGGCAGTTCCATAGGAATATAAAAATAATCCTTGGATTTGATGTGGCACCTTTCACGTAGGGAGGACATTTCAAAGCGCTTCAAAGAATATAATATAATATAAAGTATAGCAACTGCGTATTTTGTAAGCAAATGTGGCAGCCAATATGCACACATCAATATCCTAGAAGCAGCCATGAAGTCAACCTGGATAAAACTCCTTTCTCTTATCGAATAGTGCCGTGGAATTGTTAACATCCATCAGAACAGGCAGACAGGACCTTGGTTTATTGTCTCACTTCCTAAAATGAAATGCACCCCAGTACTGCACTGGAGTGTCAGTTTAGACCAGTGGTGGCCAACGTGTGGCCCACGGGCCGGAAGTGCCCCCACCCCGAAAATTTGCACGAGTCAAGTTAAGTCCATGTTCAATCAGTGGTATGTTTTCAGTTCTTTCTTGATTTCATATTTCTTGATTTATGGCATATGTCAAGAAATATTTAATCAAGAATATTTATTTTATTGACCAACCATGAAGGTCGGCTACCACTGGTTTAGACTATATTCAAAAGCATTTGTCTCTTGTTTCATAATGAATCAATTGTTCTATTCAGAGCCCAACTCTGGGCACATCTGACAGATCACACATCCATTTCACTGGTTGTCATAAAATGATTTATTACGACAACACAACTGCCTTAATGTAAGCTGGTAATGATGTTTAGTTATAAATTATCTGCACCCCGCTGCACTGCCACACCACTTTTTTGTAAAAAAACACCTTAGAATCTGAGCACATGGCAGAACTCTGAATCACCTAAAATTTTAGTGGCAAAGAGTTAACAAGAGTTTATTCACTGTCTCTCACGGTATCTCTTACAATAATAATGATACCTGCTTTAGATATAGCACCTTAACACGTTGTTGAAACGTCTCAACGCGCTTCACAGAATATACTGTCAAGTGAATTGACTATGTTTTTTGTGGGCGAAACCGCAAATAATAACCACACAGTCTTTTATCCATGAGTGAAGTGCTAACTGCTCTGGGTTTGCCACGTGCAAAAACAATTGCAGTCAGCTGTGTGGAGTGCTTTGAGACATCCGCCCAACGTGAAAGGTGCTGTATAAATGTAAATTGTTTGTTGTGTTAAAACAAAGTGATATTGATAAATATGGAAAAGACAATCCAGTTAAACACTATTGAGAGAAGAAAATATCTCTGAATATATTTACCAGTCCATTGTATATTTAGTCCTTTCTCTAATTACACCAGCCATTTTCACATGATTACAACTTACTCAGCCAACGCAATGGTCTGGATGGGGGAGGGAGCAGCAGGTTTCGTCAGCTAAAGCTGCAGACCCACAGCAGAAACTCGCGACAGCAGCTGGTGTTTGTGGCCCTGTGGTATTGGCTCAAGTGAACTTGTTTGGCACAAAGGGATTGTGATGGTGAGTGGGCATTTCCCCTGCAGAGGCAGTGAGGAAATGTGTTTTGTGGACGTGATTCCTGGGGAAGCAGTTAAAACCCGATTACAATAAAAGATTTTTATCTTTTTAAAATGAAAGCAAGGGCCTTACTATTGTTCTCGAAATATCTCAAAAACATTTTGCTAGAATTTCAGTTTCTTTGTTTCAAATGGAGCGAAGCTGACTGCACTACCTTTAACTACAGAGGATTCTTCATAAAAAGATTACTCTAGATGTTTGGAAATTGATCTCAATTTCCAAAATGAAATTCCCCTTTCTTGGTCTTCACCTTCATTTGCACAGTCACTACACTACAAAGCAAAATGCTCAAAGTGCTTTGAGACCTCTTGATGACGTGATAAGGCGCTATATCAAATGTAAGGATTATTATTATTTACATCATGTTAAAGATCTTATTAGCACTATTAGTTATAAACTGATTGTCCTTTTCATCAGCTTCTATTTTTTCATTTATTAATTCCCTTTTGCATTTTCCCAGATAATAATAAGAATAATTCTTGCATTTATACAGTGCATTTCACATTGAGAGATGATGTCTCAAAGCACTTCACAGGATTAACTGTAAAGTGTAGTGATTATGTATCTTGTAGGAGAATATGCCAAAGCATAAGACCTGCCAACTCAATGCGAATTGTTCCCAGGTTGAGCAGTAGAACTGAAGTAGTTGTGTGAGGCAGAACATCATAGCACATCATTGTAACAGTGTGCCAGCCTTCTGTTTACGGTACTATCCTAGAGTTTCAGCCAAGCAAATTGGCTAAACTTTCAGCCAATTTACTCCTATCCTGAAGGCACTGAATCATGCTAGGTAAAATTTCACAGGCGTTTCCCTACATTGCCCAAGTTATGATTTTTTATGCGTGAATCCTGACTGTGAACATCAGCAGGCTATTTGATAATGTAGGGCATCACAGCTGAGCCTTAACCCACTTCTCACCCAACAACCTGATACTTGCACTTTCCAGTCACAAGCAGTCACTGGAAACACAAAGAACGGGAAGTGCTATTCTGGCTGGGAACAATCAGCTAACATTGCACAGATGGGGACTGACTTTCTGGTCTGTGTGGCCCTGGTACAGCACCAAATCAGTACCTTTACCCACTAGGCCATCAGAAGAGCTTCAGATCCACTTGATTTTCTCATAAAATTATACAGACAACGACGAACAGCTATAAAACACAGGTGCAGTTGCTACTCAAGTGTGAAGTTAGTGTCACTAGTATTAATAATGAAGCATTTCAAATGGGATTCCTTAATTAAGGAATCCAAGTGGTGATTCCTGGTTACCAAAAGTACGTCACAATGACTTGTGGGAACTTTGTTCCGAAAGTAGGTAGATTTGGAGGGAGTTCCCACGAGTCGTAGTGACATGCAGTACTCCCAAGTTTCCTGAGGAAGAAATCCTTAAGTGTGTCACAACAACCCCCTTTCTTTAATTACGGAATCCAATTGTAGAAATCATTGTAGTTTATACCCTAACATATAACTAGATTCATTAGGTGACATATTTAATATCTGCACAATCAGTAGGCAAAGAGTCTCATTCTAAAGATGTCTTCCATGACCAGACCCACTCTGCACTCCAAAACCACATCGGTCAATTGAGCACAGACATTCAGCTTTTGGACAATTGAAGTGTGCAATAGATTGTAAACAGATGCCTTGGTGCAAACTTACACAACCAGGCCAACTCATCAAGTAAATTGAAGCATATGGGAATGTGGGGACATACATTCCTATCTGTTTGCCACAAGAGCTGCAAGATACTTAGCACATGTCAATTCATATATAGAAACGTTTTTTAGAGTGGGACAAAAACATCAGCAGCCCTTGGCAACTGGTTGTCTTTTTTTTAAGTACTTTTAACAGTTTGGCTCCACTTTTAATTTAAAATTAGCCAAGCACCAACGTAGCTAGATAGTCATCGATGACTTAAACGTGACTTCAGCTCAAGCTATAGATCAGAACAAGCGGACTCTTGCCCCCAAGAATAGAGGCAGGGAATCTGGAATGATTCATTCACAAAATAACAGTATTTTGTTTACAAAATAGGGTTTCGATTACAATGTTTGTGGCAGGGCGGATCTTATCAAATCCTAAATGGTTATTTAGACCTGGGCCATTTTATCAGTATCACAGACTCTTTTAACAGTCACACAATATAATGAATGCAGCCCTCGGAGAATCAAAAGGCGATTGATTATTTTTTAAAATATAAAAACTAAGCTAAAATCACGTGAGTGATTTGCTTTATATTTCACCATCATGTAGGTGCTGACACACGTCCAGGGTAGACATGTCCTGTCGCTAGAGTCGTGATGTTGTTCCAGACCTGACTTAACACAAATATGTAATTAAAATAAATGACTCTCATTGTTCAAATCCTTCAAGGTTAAACTTTTCAGCCGTCTCTATCCGTAACAAACCAAGTTCACTCTTTGTCTTTTTCTGTCCCTTATATCTATAATTATTCTTCCAACATATCATTAGTG